ACGGAGGATGCGGGGGGACAGGGCTGACCCCCAGCCATGCAGCGGTCCTGCTCCCTGCTCTCCTTCAGCTCAAGCAGCGCGATACGGAGCACGAGAGAGTTTAATGAGATTTTGCTGAAATATTTATTTAGAGCTAGTGGCAGGGGAGAGGACCCAATAACACAGATCCTCACACGCGGCACGGGGACAGCCGCGCCTGGGAAATGCCCGGCTCTCCCAGGAAGGCCCGCTGGCTGGCCCCCGCCCCGGCCGCCTCCTGCAAGGGCAGCCTTGGCTGGCCCCGGCATCGCTCCCGGGGCACCGTCGCTCCTTTCTGTAGCCCTTCTCTCGCTACGCTCAAGACTTGCACCCTTTCCTTACAGGCAGCAGTTTCAGCAAGGTATGAGCAGGGCAGCTGGAACAGGGAAAGATCCTGAGACATCAGCAAAGCGACCCTATAAATCAGCGTTGATTCACTGCCTTTCAGTGGGCTGGAATACAACCCGAGCCAGGGGAACATCATTTTTCAACGACAGTTGCTCAGTGGTGGCTTCAGATCAGAGACTATTATATTCTCGCAGATGCGTGAAACCAGATGTGGCTTTGGTAGCAAAACCAAGCTTGGGATACAGTGGCTTAGTCTGGATCTCGTTTGGGCTGAAACCCCAGGGTTCAAGGACTTCGTCATTCTGCTTATTCCAAATTCACAGTGCTTGCAAACCCGACCTTCCAAAATCCAAGTCGCCGTTGCTGATGTTTGCTCTTATCACTCACAGTACGGTGACTCCTTGATGTGTTGGCTAAAAGCCGTGCTCCGGCAGCCAGAACCGCGCATCGGCAGCTCGGTCCTGAAGAGCTTAGGTTACAAACGGAAAGTACAAATGGCGAGCGTGGAGGAAACGGCAGGCTAGAGCAAGCCTACCGCTATCTTGTTGGCTTTCAACCAGGTTGGGTTTGCAAAGTCAACATGATCTTTCCCGAGGAAGTTGGTAGGGTGGCTTCCAGGGTTTGAACTTACATCCTGGGTCCAGCTCAGCGATTTAACCTCTTAGCTCTCTTTTGGACAGTGGAGTTTGTATTTTTGCTTTTGCTGAGCCCGTAATCGTTACAGGAACTTTACTTCAAGCAAAGATCTCAGTGAGTCAGCGGGACCTGAAGTTTTGCGGCTTCTCCTCTTTTAGTGGTTGGTAGTTGGGTAAATTAGTGCTTGTATGAGCTGAACCCCTGATTCATATTTTGGTAGTCCCCAGAGACTTTCCAAAGGTCAGAGTGCTATTTCATTCCCTCTGCTTCTGTAGAGATTTCTCTAGCTGGTGTTTTCCTGATGCTGTTTGTAATTTCTTCAATGTGTTTTTCCTGTGCAGATGTTGCTGGAAAAAAAAAACCCTCGTGGAGATCATGGCCTTGCCCTGGCACAGAGTCCAGGGAATGGAAATTCAAACTCAGTCTATATATTTTTCCTATTTTTCTGCTTCTCCGTTTCCCTTGGAGAAGCGGTGTTGAACCTTTTCCTCCTCTGTGAAGAGGAACATTTGGGTCCTTCCAGCACAGCTGTACTGGAAACCCCATGTCTTTGGAGACCAACTTGTATATAATCTTTCCAGTCCTCAGATCTTTCTTTGTCCAAGGATCTGTACGCAGCGCCCATCGGGCAGCATTTGGGACTCTCAGGCAGCTTAGAAATGACGAGCAATGCCACCCACATGGAGCGGGCAAATGAGCATCGTTGTTGCTGCGTCTCTCGGGAATTCAGCTGCCACAGGTTAATACTGCTCTTCTCTGCAGATGTTCCAGCGGCTTTGACCGATACCGCGAGGAGTGGCTGTCCTACGGCTGTGGCCAGGTGAGACTGAGGGAAGCATCACTTCTCTTAGGTCCTCTGCTAGGGATGATGCTGAACTACAGAAAAAGCAATGGCCATGTCCCAGCTCAAAAAACGCCCTCTCAGCTCCGCTTGGCCCATGCGGTTCTGGAACAGACTGAATATCCCTTTGGATGTCCCTTTCCCATTACAGCAGGACCACTGATCCACTTAACAGAGGATGTCTCTATTGGCATAGTTGAAAGGTGGTCCCTCTAGTCCAGCATTACCTGTCTTTGCCTTGCTGGTGCCTTGTTTCTGTGCTGCTCGGTGCTGGATGTTCAGTAAAGATGCAGAGACCACCATAAGTTACCAAATGGTGCAATTTGAGTACACGGGGATATTTTTTTCTTCACTTTCTGAAGCATGACTCTTACTCACTCTCAAGCATGAAGAAATTAGCCCTTGTGATTTTTTTTGTCCTTGTTAGTACAATTATCTCCACATTGGATGAACTAGTTTCTTTGTCTCAGAAAGATCAGCTCTAACGAAACATCTGTTTCTGCTTTGGGTTTTTTTTGTTGTTTTTTTTTTCCCCACTGAAAACTCAGCTTTGTTCCCTGTTAACCAAGAGGGTTGAGTGAGGGAAAAAGAGGTCACAGGACCTATGTAAGGTCATTCAATGATGCAAGAAGGTCAGACTGTAGGACCTTGCCAGATCATTGTCATTTGTCCTACTTAAGTGGTTCCCAAACTTTTCCTCCTCTTCTCCAACCTCCAGGTCACCCCCCCCATACTTCTGGCACTTCTGGACCATGTCCCCTGCTTCCACTCCAGTGTTTGTTTGAACCCCAAGGACTTGGCAGCCCTAAGCCTGGGAAGCACAGCCCTCACCGCTGGCTCCCCGGCACTCTTGCTGGAGGAGAGCTAGGAAAAGTAGCTGTTCTTCATTTTCTTTCCAGTCAGATGAGAAGACCTGCGAGGATTTAGCAGAAGGCGACCACTATTCAGCACCTCCTGACAGCTCTTTCCCACCGCTGGACGAGGATGTCGTCACCTCCACGTCCTCGCTCTTCATCGACAGCCTCACCACAGAAGGTAGGGGCAGGTGGGTGAGGGGCTGTGGCAGGGACACCCCATCCTCCACGCTTATCCCCGGAGAGGTCTTTCATAAAGCCTATTCGTGTCCAAATAAATACAATAACAAACCCGTCTTTGAGGCCCAAGGGCAGGGGAGAGTGCAGGAGGCAGTGGAAAGGAGAAGGAAGGGCAGCCCAAGAGGCGAGACTCGGAGTGATGTGGTAAGGGGAGAGATGAAACCCCCCGGTGCAGAGTTCTACAGTTGCGTTGCAGCCTTTATACGCATTTGTGAAGGTCAACGAGCAACTAGTCCCTGGTGCACAGGCTCCCCAGCATCATAACAGAGGTTGATACCGTATACCGGGGCTCGTGCCTTCAGTGTGCTTGGTCCTAGCTGGTGGCTCGGGGCTGCCGGTACTCTCAGACTGGCAATAACACAGCATAGGCTTGTGATCGCCCTCTGCTCGGGAATGGTGTTCGTTCCAGCATAGGAAAGCTCCACATAAGGACCTGAGTTTCCCTCGAGACACCCATGTTCTAAAGCTTGCTAATCCTATTAACACAGGGCTGGCTCCTCAGATCCTAGCGGCAGGTATCACTTCAATTTTGCTGCTTAATAATCCCTAACGCAAACTGCTAATTAGAATAAATAGAAAGGAACATTAGTAATTGTCCTTCAGCGATGGGAAGGGGTTGGGGGGAGGCACGGAGCGCCTGGCTGACAGAGTTGACTTTGAAAGGAGCAATTAAAGGAAGGGGGAGTGTAACACCACCACTGAGATTATTTTCCAACTCATCGCCAATTCTTGGAAAAAGAACAAGAGGCTTTCTGTGACATAGTCAAGCATGAAGTCAATTTGTAATCTTGGAAGGAAAGAAACAGCCAGCTGCATCAGGCAGCGAACTTCAGCTGGAGAAGCACAGCAAAGGAACAAGCAAAGCGAAGGAGTGGACCCACCCCTCTGCATCCTCCCCAGCCAGCCCAGCTCGCTGGCTCTGCTCGCGGAGATGTTTGTGAACGTGTCTGACTTGCGGGTCGTGTGTCAGCGCTGCACCTAGCAAACCTGTAAGCCAAGGAGTAAGAATTCTGGATGAGGATTGCAGCTGGACTCGTGAGGGTGGTGATGTGGAGACCATCAAGACATAAAGTCTTGTACAATACATCCTGTTTCTTCCAGAACGCGCCGAAGAATGGAATTGGATTTTGGGCCCCCATGGAAGACATCTGCAGCATAACATCCCGTTGATTTATTCGGGATGTATTAGCAGCGTATTGCTGCAAACACCATAGTCTGAACATGGACACCCACAAGGGCTGGGCCCCTTACTGTCCTGCTTTGCACGTTAAGCATATTTAAAGACTAGTTTCCTCAGACGTTTGTGCTCCAGGTGCCACCTTTGTGAAGGAAGACAACAAACCATAAGCCATATGCTTTCACTATTGTTGTTTTCTGGGTGCCTTCCTCTTCCACCAAACTCAGCGGTTTAAAACTGTCACTGGCCGTGGAAATGCTGTGCGAGAGGTGTGTTCTGCCAGTGGCCCCGTTACAGAGGGATGAAAGCGGGTGGGAATATCATAGAAGGCTCCTAACTTTTTTTTTTTGCCTTTGTTGTCTTCTTTTAGACGATACGAAGCTCAATCAGTACGCAGGAAGTGAAGGTAAGCCCTTAGTCTGCTCTCTGCCTGCTCCCAGCCGTTCCAAGAGAACACGTTACGCTGAAATCAAATGCGGCGGGGAGCTGCGGTCAGTCAGCAGAGTGGACAGGTGAAACTGAGGTTGGAGGGATGTAATCAAGACAAGACTCCTATTGTCCTTACCCTGATTAATACCATTTCAGGTGGTGAAAAGTGAGAGTCGGGACCAATCTGTTTTACCCTGATGCTGTTTGTCTCCAGTGAGATGATGAGTTTTCTCTTTCCATGTAGCTCCCTTTCTTTGCAGTTTTTGCATAGACACAAAGTCCTTTTTTCTTTTGAATTTCCCCAGCTGTGCCAAAGAACAGTGTAAAATCCAAATTTAAAAAGTGTCCTTAGCCCAGCTCTGCCTTTTTCATCTCTGTTCCCGTGAATCCTCTCTCAGTCCGAGTTTGTTCGGCAGCCCCGAGGGCAGGGAACCGAACTGTTGCTGAAATGCCCTTACTAATGTCAGTGTGTGGGAAGGATCCGAGCCCTCTTCGCCTGATATCAGGTCTGCAAGAGCTGCGGTCGTATGCAAACCACAAGCCCATCCCTCTTACCTGAAAGCAGCTCAGGGAAGTTAAACTGGCTAAACTGGGTGCAGGATCAGTTCCTTTGCAGGCATGGGGCCTTTGAAACGCATGATCTTCCCAGTTTCAGCCAAATTGCTCCCCAAACGGCTGGTAATGTCACTGCTAATATATGCCACATCCACCCTCTGTGGCTCTGTGCAATTGCATATTCATAGCCGAGGACCGAGGGGGGGCTGGGGTAAGACACACTGAGGACCCCACTCGGCATATGGCTAATGGCTTTCTAGCAGAGTGAGCAGCCAATATGTAAAGAATACGGAGTGGAGGGGGGGTTATTGCATGGCGGTGGTTTAATCTCCTCTCAAAGCAGCTACTGCTATCATCCGAAGGGGATGCTGGAGCTCCGGCAACTCTCTGGTGCATCTTCCCCTCTCGCTGAGCCTGGCAGTAGCAGGCTAAGTCGCTCAGCGTACGTGCAGAGCTCTGAAAGGTCTCGCCTTGCTTTTCTTTTCTGTCCTTCCTTTCACCGAGGTCTCAGCACAGTTCGAGACTCAACTGACTCCTCTTTTGCAGGTGTGGGAAGCAGCCTTCCTTCCAAGAAAGCAGGCGCCCCGATTCACACAGGTACTATCGTGGGGATCGTTCTGGCTGTGCTGCTCATTGCAGCTATTATCCTTGCTGGAATTTACATCAACAGCCACCCCACCTCCAACGCCGCCCTGTTCTTCATTGAGGTGAGTGGAGAGCCTTATCCCTGGCCGGTTTTCTCGTCCTCTGCTATCAACACAAATCCTAACCGTCTGGAGGAGAGCAGGGAGCAAGGAGAAGAGGAGAGAGGAACTTTGAGAGAGTTCATACCCGAGTTTCTTTTCATGGTCCAACAGTCATAGCTCATCTCCCAACCTCCAGTTGATGATGGTTTAAACTTAGGCTCTCTCCCTCCCACGCTGTTTTATTTTGCTCCCTTTCACACGCTCCCTTTCACACATTGCCTCTTTTCCCCCGTGCAAAGTTAGACTCTTCCACCTGCTTGCCTGAGCAGTCCACCCGCAGCCTGGCTGAAGGGCTCAGTTGGAGCTATGACATAATTGAGAGCGCTGCCTTTTGAATTGCCCAGCTGGATTTTGTTGCCTAAAATTGTCAGACTTTACTGATAGATGTCACGCCATCAGCTACTGTGTAAGTGGTGGTGTGCATGCTCTAAATGGAAGATTTTAATTCTCGGAAAGATAGGGGGTCTAACAATCTCCATCTGCTGTTAAAAGCCAGAAGACCGCTTGGTGTAGGATCCCGAGGCAGTCAGAAGTGGGCTGAACGCTGGCACAGGAGCTGCTGCGGAGGGAGTGAGCAACACTTAGCCCTCAGCCTTTCCTTATCACTCGCTGGCTTTTTCCTAGAGCACTCGTCTTTCCTCCATCTGTCCTCTTTGCAGAGACAGGCTTCGGAGAATTGATCTACATGGCCTCCACCATTTAGTACCTGAGCACTTGGCAATGTTTGATGCGTTTATCTACACCCGGCTGAGAAGGGGCAATGCAGTTGTCCCTGTTTTGCAGATAGAGAGGAGTCACGGAGCTGACATGTCTGTGGTCGCACGGGAAGCCTGTGGCTGTCCTCGGCTGCACGGGCCAGCCTTGTTCTGAGGCTGATCTGAGATTTCACTTAAAATTTCCATTTCCTCCCCGCTCCCCATTTTAACCTGATTAGTGGGTCAGCTCAGTGAGATTGATGCATTGTAATGAACTCTTTTAAGCATGAAGCAATTTTTTAAAAATTTATTTTTATTAATAAAAAGTCAAACTTCCACAAAGACAGCATTGTTTTTGTTTCAGGACTGAGTTTCCAATTTCCCTGCAGGCTTGGCGTGAAAGGCTCTGTCGTAGCTTCTGATGGGTCTTTGTTTCTGTCCACAGCGAAGGCCACATCGCTGGCCTGCCATGAAATTCCGAAATCACACCAACCATGCCACGTACTCGGAGGTGGAGCCGGCCAGCCAGGAGAAGGAGGGCTTTGTCGAAGCAGAACAGTGCTGAGCGCTTCTCCCCCTGCGTCTCGAACCTCCCATGTCTCAAGCGTTGGAGTCTTCTGTTATTCTATTGCAAAGTCTTTCCCCTCTTGGAAAAGAAACAGCAAGTAGAGGAAAAAGACCCAATGGAGCATTTGCAAAGAACGAGTCAGGGTGGTGTGAGACTGGGACTCCCCTGGATTCCTCACGGGGCGGCAGCGGCGGCCGGCAGTTGCGACATTGGACTCTGCCTGCAGCCCGGCACCGAAGCCCTGGATGTGGCGGTAGAAAAAAAAATGCAGTCAAAGTTTTGGTTTGGCGTGGGTTTTTTTCTTTTGTGGTTGGGTTTTTCCCCCGTGGTGTGTGGCTGACCTCTTCCCTCCTCCACCAGGAATGTCAACAGGGGCAGCAAAGGGGGGACAAATCTCGGTACAGGCAAAATACGCAGTTGCCTCAAGCAGCAGGCTCTTGGGGACACCAAACAGTGGATTTTTGCTGCACACTGGCTCTGCCTGCGCTCAGGAAAGTCGGGCTGGTTGCCTCTTCCCCTCTCCAGGGAGAGGCTGGGTGGTTGGGGGTAGGTGCTGTTGGTGGCCCAGGAGAGGTAAGGTTGGCTCTCAGGGCTCACCTCCCCTCTCCCATCCCCTCTCCCCCAGCTCCATCCCTTTCTCTGCTCTCCCCTTCCCCTTCTTTCGGGGCGGGCAACGTTTAATTTTGTCTTCATGGCCGAGAAGCCTTGTGCCCTTGTCTTTTCATCCTGCAGTTGGTCTTCCACCACCATGGCTTTAACTCCTTGCCCTCCTCTCCCTTCAAAGCAACAGCTTCCACCCCCTGCTCCAGAGAAAGGGAAACCTGAGCTATTTTAAGGGCAAAACCCTGCGGAGGATTCACCTTCAGGATGTTTGTGAGCCAAGGGCTCTGATGCACTTTTTGGCATCTAATTAGTTTGCTAAATTACTAACTATGACCCTTACCCCAAAGGAGACAGAAAAAAAATCTTCGATTCCTTCAAAATACGTCCTTGTGGTTTGGCCACTAATCCAGCAGGAACGGAGGAGGTTTTGATGGAAGAGGATGGGGACAGAGCACTAGCAGAAGCAGTGTCCTCCCACGGGCTAAATCCTGAAGTAAATCCTAGCTAATTCATGGGCATTTCACATAACTAAGGAGTGAAGGCATACATGCCTTGACACCATGGAAAATCTAAAAATCACCTTATTAACATCGTCGTTTTTAGAGCCTACTCAAGTCAGTGGAATTTTTTCTTATTTTTTTATTTTATTATGTCTGTGATAGGCCCCTGGACTGGATTTGTACATATATCGTGATTCCAGAATCTGACCCTAACTAAGGGCTTCGACACTAGACCTCTCAGGGTTTTCTACTCCTTCTGTGCAATCAGAATTCAAGACTAATCTGCAGAAATACTCTACCCTACTTCCACAGCCACCAGCTGCAGGATTGGGCCCTAAGCTAAGGAAAGCATGTATTAAAAAAAGAGAGAGTCCAAAGTCCAGTGTAAGGTAAAGTTTTCTTTCCCCCACCAAAAAAGGTGTTGGTTGTATGGGGCTTTTTTTTCCTTTTTTTTTTTTTTTTCTAATTTTCTCTTGATCCTCAGTTATTTATTCTGATAATCATGTTTGGTGCATATTTTATCTACTGGCTGGTTCAGCTGTCACTGGTGGTGATTACTGCCAAAGGCAGGGTCTGTCTAATTAATGTTTTCCTTCTCATCTGCTGAATTTATATAGCCATTAAAGATAAATATGGATGCTTTGTGGCATTTAGACCCCAGATTATACTTTCTCATGCATAGCCACTAGGGAGACTTTTGCTGCATCTTATTATGGCGTAAAGGCACCAAAAAGCTCAAACAGGATAAGTCAGACTGAGTCGTGCCAAATTGTTATGGCCCAGACAGTCTCTCTTCAGACACATTTTGAAGATAAACTTTATTCCCAAATAAAGCTTTCAACTGGAAGGTTGTTTTTTCCCCTGTTCCCCTGAAGTAGAAAGAATTCAAAGGGATGCTGTCGTCTAGTTTTTGCCCAGATTCTGATCTCCTTTGAAATGGTTATGACCTGGTAAGGAATTTTCTCTGGATTTAACTCTTTTCAAATAATGGCCTTGTTTTTAGTGGTTTTCTTAACATGCATACAGAATAACAGCAAGATTTTGGGTACTCCTCTTCCCCTAGAAATGCTAGGTAACATCCAAGAGTTCTGAAATGCTGCGAATTTAAAAGAAAACAGACTTTAGATAGGGTGCAATTGAGCTGTATAGATCACTGCTGCATTACTGCAGCCAGGATCTTAGAAAGATTCAGAAGGGGACCAATACTCAGGTGGAGAATAACAACATCCAAGTACCATAGCACAGAAACGGTTGAGATACGTAAAACACCTGTACTTCAGGGCAGATGCCAAGTTCTGAGTGCCTGGAGTTAAAAAGGCTTTTTTTTTTTCCTTTAAGGAAAGAAACAAAACCAACCAGGCTATTCTGTATTCTGTAGCTGTGCAACAGATGTTTGGTCTACCTTCTACTGAGCAGTATGGTTTGGGGTATTGTCAGGTAGAGCGTTAACAGCTCCAATTCATCATCCCTGAGAACCTTGTGGTAGAGTAGATGGAGAAGTTACTGCCCATAGTCATGTGCGTGCTCGGAGCTGAAGGCTTGGATTCAACCAGCATCTCCCACTGCCCATCCTGGAGAAGCAAGGCACTTAGATGCTGTGTCTCAAGGAGGAGAAAAAAAAAAAAATATTCTGTCCTACCTTTCGACATGAGGTCTAGCTCTGGGCACTTGAAGTTCACATCTGGGAAGCTTGTGAGTCAGCAGGGAGCAATCTTTTCTGAATATTCTTTGCACATGGCTTTGTAGTGGAAGAGAAGAGGTCGTCTATTAAATTCTGGAAAACCCAATGGTAATGTTGCCGATGCCTAGAAGAAAGAGAAAAATGTCTTTACCATCAACAAGTACTGCTCTTAATGTTGAAGAGAATAGGAGAGTCTGGGTGCAGGTATAATGCTGCACCAAATCAAACGCATCAGGATCAATACTCCTTTCTTATCTGTGTAACTCTGACTTCAAGATGCCGGTTAATCTTGCTAGTCTCGAGTACCGAAGCAAGAACGTGATGATGGCGACTATGACATAAAAAGAGTTTGATTTTGCTTTTAATCATGTGGCTTCTCTAGCCACATCCTGAGGTTTTCCTCTGGATTCTGATGAACCCAGGATTTGGGCTTGCTTCAAAGCAGACTGCATAATGTACATGTGTATATGGACCTGTATATTTTATAGCTATAAAATGGGCTGGGGCTGTTAGCTGTGCTCAGTCCATTGCTCAGCTGGTTAAAAGAGGATGCAAAACACAGACAACTGCTGCTGCTCCTCAGTTGTCTTTCCGAGCACCGTGCCCTGGCCGTTTGTGGCAACTGCTGGGCGTCTCGTTTGGGCGTAAGGCAGCTGCCTGTCGTCAGGCAGATGTCATCAGGCAGAAAATGACATCACGTATCTGCTCCTCGGCCACTCGACCGCGTTCAGCAGTTGGGAAAACGCAGCACAGGGTTTATCAGAGACCAATGCAAGGTTGGTTCTGCTCTTATGAAAGTTGGGGGCTAATACCACCATTTTTGACATCAGTGGGAGCAGGACCCAGATAAAAAAATATTCTCTTAATAACTAAAGGCCTACTTTCCACATACTTGAATTTACAGCACAGTTGGACTATTTTGGGGGACTAAAGGCACTTTAACTGTCTTTTAATGCAATGTATTTACTATGGATTATCTGCATGGAATACAGTCTTAATATTAAAAAAAAAAAATCTTCCTTTTGGACTGCTTTGTTTTCAAAATAAAACATGCAAAGGTTATTGGTCATGTTACGTGAACTTCTAAGCTGGATGGGAATAATTTTCATCTTGTATTCTTTTAATTGACACTATAAGAATACAAGGATTTTTTTTAAAGACATCCTTTTCTGTCTTAGTAATAACACATCATGTCAGGAGGTGTTCCCAGGACATATCTAGGATAAAAACTAATGTAATTGAGGTTTGAATCAAGACAATTTTCTTATAATTTTATTCTGCTCAGCTTGCTTAGATTTTTTTTTTTGCAGGCTTCTCAGCTTGAACAATGAAGTTTACTCGGCCCATTTGACTTTTTGACAGTAGTAAGGTTTAGTGTTTTGATCTCTGCACTAGCACCAAATTATTTCAAAAATGTAAATCACTTTAAAGGTCATTATCTGCGACCTCTAGGTAGCACCTCCAGGTTTAGGCTTCGCTATTGTACATTAAAATTACGTATAAATTGGCATGACGCAGTAACTGAAAGGAGATGATGAACTCTCAGAAAAGGCCCATCTTGCAATTAACTACGGATATCAGTAGATGAATTCCCAGGGGAGCTTTGATAGCACTGCTTCCACGTGCGTTACACCTTGAGTAGCTGCTAAGGGCACAGCCAGAACAAGGACTTACCGTAACCCTTTCCACGCGCTTACCTTGCAAACTGCTGTACCATGTAGAAATACCCAAGGCAGCACAGAAATTGGAGCAATTCAGTCCTGCTTCACATCCCCTACGAGAGGTAAGTATGAGCCTCGTTAGAGACATTCCGAGATGGAAGGATGTTCGCCGGGGCAGGACGGGGCTGTAGTTAAGGTACTGGGTTGTGGTCCAGGAGATGCAAGTCTCCGATAGTAAAAGATCTCCTGGTATCTCAGCTGCTCGTCTGTAATATGTGAACAATAAGACCGTGTTTTGCCTGTGGCTATTTAAATTGTAAACTCCCCAGCCTGGGGCTGTTTCGTAACATGTATGTGTACTGTTCCTGGCCTTGATTCTGCTCGAGGAGCTAAATGCGTAATTTTCTAAGCGTAACTTTGTCCCTGCTGGCCGCCTGAAGTGAATGTCACCATTTTTTTGTACCTCCTTTCAATAGCTATGACCATGTTGCAATATTGGAAAAAGAAGTAATATATCTGCTTCTTCTCATTTTCCCTTTCACCTTCCTAAGC